CTTCATATATATTGTTGTGGTAGGATCCACCTAATTTGCATAGTGGAGTACCGACCATATAAATATGGTTGGTACCGGGAAGAGAGGGAGGAATCAAGAGATTCAACCAGAGACTCTGCTCGACTGCGACTCAGTCAACACATTCTCCAGGAACGGTCTTACCGGGAATATACAAAAGACTATATGTAAATATTGTGTACACTTTCTTGTTTCAATACATTTTGTTCTAAGTACATTTTGTGTTGCATTATTATTCCATGCATTAGTCAAGTTTCAACATATATATATATATATATATATATATATATATATATATATATATATATATATATTATCACCTTTGCATTATCAAGCGATTTTAAGAATAACTTTCTAAGAAATTTGCCTAATTTATAAGCGTAGACAAAAATAAATACAAAAATTGTACTCTCAAGTACAGCTCACACATTACGAAGCGTTTTATCTGTATAAAATGTGTGATCTTAAGTTGCTTTTATTTTTTTACAAAAATGATCACTGATGGGTACGGCTTTTGTCTACATCAGCTTGTCTGGTAAGGGCAGAACCGGTTTATCTTGCCATCGTTTCTGTATCTGGTCGGTTCGATATGCCCTGTATTGCACCGCAGAGACAACTAAGGTGTTTATGGCTGATATTCTGTTTTTTGAATTTTTGTATGTATGTAATATCTAGTAAGCATTGGTCATGTGCAGCAAGAATAAAACCTCCCGTTTCATCTTTTAACCCTGCACTACGTAACCAGTGATAGGTACGGGGTTTGTCTATAACAGCTTGCTTAGTAAGGGAAGAGTATTGACCATGAATTGGTTTAAATTGCCATCGTTTTTACATTTGGTACATTAGATTTACTTTTATTACTTTTTTTTTTAGATTAATCACCGCTGCAGAAGGTGCATTATGGGTAATTTGCATTTCTTCGCCTGCTTGAAACTCCATTTTCAATTTGTTGGCTTCTTTTATTACCGAATAAAGTTTCTTATTTCTGTCATGTTCTTTCAATTCTACTAACCCCCGCCTTTGTTTACGATGGACTGGATTTGTGAATCGGTTTAAATTTCAAAGATTCTTTCAATCCTACTCTATCGGCTGTTTCGGACAGCGGAAGGCACGCGCTAACAAATCCCGCCTTTGTTTACGATGGACTGGATTGCTGAATCGGTTTAAATTTCAGACACTCTTTCAACTTTATTCTGTCGTCTGCTTCGGACAGCTAAATCAACGCTCTGACAAATCCCCGCCTTGCGATGACGAGATCTTGTCTTTCGGTTTTGATTGGAGGGGATTTGTTTAAATTTCAAAACCTCTTTCAATTTTAATCAGTAGTCTGTTGGAAACACGGCATCCTCACTTTGACAAATCTTCTCTGAATTTCTTTACCTCCGAATAGTTATTACTATTATTATTATTATTATTATTTCATTTCATTTGGTTTCTTATGTATACTCATTTCTTTCCGGGTCCTGACCAGAAACCCAAGGTCAGAAATGCCATCATGACATTTTCCACTGAGCAGTTTAAAAAATATATATACATATATTTTACATAGATAAAGCCATTCGTAAGATGTGGGCTGTACTTATGACTACATTTTTCTGTTGTATTTTTAAGGCATAAACTTCCAGAATCCCTTCAGTGGGTCTATCGAAATTTTTTCCACTCAATCCGAGACCTGTACTTGTGAGTATAATTTTTTGCATCTACCGAAAACATGGGCTACTAGTGTTTCTTTTAATGAGTCTATTGAAATATTTTCCAGTCGGTCTGAGGGCTCCAACTACAACTGTAATTTTTAATGTTCTTATGCGCCATATTTTTGAGATTTCGTTTTCAAGGTCCTTGTATTTTGATAGATTTTTGAATATACTGTTGGTAATGTGTAATAGAAAGTAACAGAAGGTTTGAATGGTAAGAAGGCGAGATAATAGGTGTGTTCAAAGGTATTCATCTACAACAATACAACAAAAACGAGCATGCAAAACGAACCAATCGTAAGGCAATTCAATAAGAAACAACAGGATTTTAGGTTTCAACAATAACGATAGACATTTATATACAACTTATATACATATAGTGAACTTGTGATTGAATCTCTGTCTATAAAACGCAGGATGCGTGTGTGTGTGTGTGTGTGTGTAACGAATGCACGGCCGCAATTTTCGACGGATTTGCATCAAAATTTACATGCACATGCTCCAAGTTAGCGGGAATTGCCAACACCGACGTTGCATTTCCCAACTCCAATCGATAGTGGAAATAATCAATTTTTTCATGCTTCTACGGCAGTTTTCATGTAGTTTGCGGCCATTTTCTACTGGCCAGAGTGAGGGCCTATAGCTGGCTGCCACGAATAGGCAGGAAGATTCTATTGGTCAGCGTGAGAGCCAACAGCTGACTGACACGAATGTTAACTAGCATGCTAGCATGCAAAAATTCGATAGCTGCATTCGTCACTAGTGGGAAAAATTTAAATCGGCATGGCACTTTACTCCAATTGGCTCATTCGCTTGCTTAAACTCAACGTTGATTCTGATTCCGCAGAACTGGGTTGGGTGTGAAAAAGTATTTGTTGTTAACATTCTTTTTTCATTCGGTTTTTCCAGTTGCGAATCCTTTTTTTAAAGCTGATTGTTTTGTGTTCATTTTGTTTAGTTCTTTTTTCGTAACAGATTTAATGTTTAGTATAGAACTTAGAAAAAATTCACAGTGTGAGATATGCAAGAAGTAAGGCGTGTACAACATCAGCACGGCAAAGGGCACTCCTTTAAAGGCAAGGAAGGGCAAATTTTAAGTCAAGTGATAGCGATTGCTGTATGAGTCGTACGATTTTTGAATCAAGCACGAGCAACGCCGGACCATGCTGCTAGTAATGTATAAATTGACCATGCATTGATTTGATGTCTTAATAGTTCACAGTTCAAAATTGTTCATGTATTTAAACAAGGTTAAATTGTGTGTGATGGAAAATGTCACTAATACAGAAAAAAATGTAGTTTGTGTGCGTGATTAAAGTAGGAAATAAATGTCTTAAGTCTTCAGGAGTTGTTCACCTTGGATTGGTTTGGTTTTATCTGGTTGCTGATTACAATTTCTACTTTAGTAGTGAATATTATCACTTTTCTTTGTAAGTAAAGTCTGAGAGAGAAATGATGATTACTGAGTCAGCAGTTGACGCGCGAAAAGTTCTTTAGGTCAGTATAATGACACGCGTGGATTCGTTTGGTATATCTCAGAAGCTGTGTGGCTGACTGATTAAATTGGATCGAACGATCCTTTTTTTTATACATTTCTTGAATCTAAAATCGGCTCAAAATCATTGAGCGGGAAAATAGATTTTAAACAATCGCTACACATTTTGAGTTGTCTCAACCAATGAAAAGTCGAGATTTAAAACGTGAAGTGCTGATTGGCTAAAGCTGGTTTGGTAGAAGAGCGTATTTTCACTCAGGGGTGGGTAGTAAATATGGATGATTCCATCAATACATTGCAGTCTGCAGGGACTGCCATGTCAATAAGGAGGCATATGCTGTCTTTGCGGCCTCTAATCAATAGATGTCTGGGCGATTAGTTTTGACTGTTCTGTGTGTATTGTAAAGTCCCATAAAATTATTACACGTCCTATATCTGCAACTGGGTTTGGGCGGCGTTCATACCAATTTCTCGCAGTTTCCTTTCCGTAATGTCAGCTACGGTCCAGTTAAGAATGTTGAAACTTTATTGCACCGAAAGAGACAGCCAAATTGTTTATGGCTGATATTCTGTTATTTTTCTTTCAGCTCGGTATTCGGTACCAGACGCACACGCCTGTAGTACTCCTTTCTTAAATTCTCTTTCATTTCGGTATGTTGTATCCCGCCTCCTTCGTCAATTCCTAGGTACCTATTGACTTTCTTATTACAGTTCCCTAATCTTTATGCCAAAATATAAACCTATTGAATATATATATATATATATATATATATATATATATATATATATATATATATATATATAGTCTTAAGATTTGATATATTTATGAAAAAAGGATAAAGTGCTCAATATCAGAGATAGAGCGTGAGTAAATATAAAAGTGAACATTGAAGTCAACACTTAGAGGCGACAGTCTGTTTCATGCTAGACGCAATCGTCAGACCACGAGTGTTCCTGACGATTGCATCTATCTATCTATCTATCTATCTATCTATCTATCTATCAGGGATATATCCCAATATATGTATTATCTATCTATCTTTCTATACATCTACTCATTATCTATCTATCTATCTATCTATCTATCTATCTATCTATCTATCTTAGTATATTCATTATCTATCTATCTATCTATCTATCTATCTATCTATCTATCTATCTATCTATCTGTTTCGGTCTATTCATTAACTATTTATCTATCTATTTTAATCTGTTCGTTACCTATCTATCTATCTGTTTTTTTTTTCTATCTATCTATCTATCTATCTATCTATCTATCTATCTATCTATTTTAGTCTGTTCATTATCTATCTATCTATCTATCTATCTATCTATCTATCTATCTATCTATCTCTTTCCACGTTAAGATATCCCAGTTTTCTCATATCTATCTATCTATCTATCTATCTATCTATCTATCTATCTATCTATCTATCTATCTATCTATTTGAATATGTTCATATCTATGTGCCAATCTATCAATAGGTCTATTTCTTTATACCGCTCTCTCTCTCTCTCTCTCTCTCTATCTATCTATCTATCTATCTATCTATCTATCTAACTATCTTAGTCGTTTTATATTTATCTATTGGTCTTTTCATATCTATCTATCTATCTATCTATCTATCTATCTATCTGGCAATGGACAAACTGAATTTTTCTTTGTTTTTTTTCAAAATTTTCCTCTGTTTCTGAAAGACATCCGTTACACAAAGCTCAGTTCTATAAATAAATAATAAAAGCTGGAAAAACCGAAAACATGAGGGTAGGGTGTGTGTCGAGGGCGGTGGGGCTCAACCGATCGAGACGATGCCCGCAGCCAAGCTGAACGCAGTTGGAGAGACGAGCCAATCAGAGAGACATACAGGAAGAAGAGGAAAGGGAAGAGAAATAGTAGGAGTAGCAGGAGAGACGAGAAAGAAAGGGGAAGAAGTAAAAGATGATAGATAAGGGGTAAGGTAGAAGAGGAGGGGTACGAGTAGGAGGAGGATGGAACTGGTGGTGGGGGGAGGTTTAACATTAATATTGTTTCGAAAAATGAAACACAACTAAAATTATTGAAGGAGAAAATATAAAATATGAAAAAGAAATAAAGAAAAAAGAAAGAAAGAAAAAGGGAAGAAAAAGCAATATAAGAATTGAAGGAGTAAATATAAAATTTAAGAAAGAAAGGAAGAAAACGGAAAGAGAGACAGAACGAAAAAAAGAATGAAGTAATATATGAATTCAAGAAGAAATATAATATGTAAGAAAGAAAGAAAGAAAAACGGAAAGAAAAAAGAAAGACGTGATAAGAGTATTGAAGGATAAAATATAAAATGTAAGAAAGAAAGAAAGAAAAAAAAGAAAGAATAAAAATGGACAAAAAGAAAGAAAGAAAGAAAAATGTAAGAAGTGAAAGAGAAAATCTAAATTGTAAAAAAGAAAGAAAAAGGCAAGAAAGAAAGAAGCTATATAGGAATTGAAGGAGAAAATATAAAATGTAAAAAAGTAAGAAAGAAAACCGGAGAGAAAGAAAGAGGCGATAAGAGAATTGAAGGATAAAATATCAAAAGAAAGAAAGAATGAAAGAAAGAAAGAAAGAAAGAAAAAAGAGAAAATGGACAGAAATAAATACATAAATAAATAAATATATGAGAATTGGAGGGGAAAATATTAAATGTAAAAAAGAAAGAAAGAAAGAAAGAAAGAAAGAAAATGGAAATAAATAAATAAAGAAGCGATATAAGAATTGATGAAGAAGATATAAAATGTAAAAAAGAAAAAAGAAATAAAAAGGAAAAAAGAAAGAAGCGATATAAGAATTGAAGGAGAAAATATAAAATGTTAAAAAGAAAGAAAGAAGGAAAAAGGAAAAAAGAAAGAAAGAAAGAAGCGATAGAAAAATTGAAGGAGAAAATTTAAAATGTTAAAAAAAAGAAAGGAAAAGGAAAAAAGAAAGAAAGAAAATAGAAGCGATATAAGAATTGAAGGAGAAAATTTAAAATGTTAAAAGAAAGAAAGAAGGAAAAAGAAAAAAGAAAGAAAGAAAGAAGCGCTATAAGAATTGAAGGAGAAAATTTAAAATGTTAAAAAGAAAGAAAGAAAGAAAGAAAGAAAGAAGCGTTATAAGAATTAAAGGTGAAAATAAAATATGTTAAAAAGAAGTAAAGAAACTATACGAAATGGAGGAGAAAACACGAAATGTCTAAAAAAAAAAAAGAGGGAATGAAGAAAAAGGAGTTCCATCCTCTCCCTACTGGTACTCCTCCTTTTCTACCTTACCCCTTATCTATCATCTTTCATTCTTTTTACTTCTTCCCCTTTCTTTCTTGTCTCTCCTGCTACAAGGGAAAGAAAAGAAAAACTAGAAAAGAATGTAGACTAAAATGTAAAAAGACATGAACAAATAATTAAATTGATTCAAAAACTGATATATAGAAATGTTGATCAAAAGAGAAACAGTGAAAGATGAACAGAAAAAAAGAAGGAATTAATAAACGTAAGAAAGGAAGTTAGGGAAGAAAGAAAATAAGCTACAAAAAAGGGTAAAAATAAAATTTGAAAGGAATGGGCGAAAGAAAGAAAAAGAAAAAAGGAGAAATAGAGAATGGCAATGAAAAAAAAAAGAGAATAAGCGGGAAATAACGATGAAAAATAAAAAAGAAGAATGAGAGAGATGTAACTTAAAAGAAGCAGAAGAAAGTAAGTGAATAAATTATATAGGAAAAGGAAAAAGAAAATATCATTTAGCCGTCAAGAAAGAAAGAAAGAAGAAAGAAAGAGGGCCAGAAAGAAAAGAAAAAGAAAGAAGAAAAGGAAATAAGCGGGAAATAAGGTTGAAAAATAATTAAAAAAAAAGAATGAGATATATATAATTTGAAAGAAGCAGAAGAATTTAAATGAATAAATTATATAGGAAAAGAAAAAGAAAATGCAATTTAGCCGTCAAGAAAGAAAAAAAGAAAGAAAGAAAGAAACAAACAAACAAACAAAAAGAAAAGAAAGAAAAAACGAAATAATGAAGGCCGGAAAGAAAAGAAAAGAAAGAAGGTCAGCAATATCACTTCTGCAATCCAATATTCCTGGAGAAAACAAAATTCTTTTCTCTTCGCTTGAGTCTACACAAAATGTACATATATAATTCATTGAAAAACAAATATACTGGCCCCAAAAAGACACAAGACATGTCAAAAGCCCCATGCCACAGCGTCAACCAGTTTCATAACTGAGCCACGCCCTTTTCCCCATAATTTTTACCTATTAAATATGTTATGATCTATACCCTTGTCCCACTCACAGTGACACAGAACACGTGGTTCATTGCCACCGAATTTATTTAAACAACCAAATAATTTCTTTTTTTTCTTGCATATTATTAGATTCACTTGAACAGATCTTCACAATTTTTACCACCATTAATTTTTTATAATCACAATTATTAACAACCTGCCTATGTGCATCAAAACTCAGCTCGCATTATCTCAATTCCTTCTGACCTTGACTGTGTCCTCACCACCCATGGTGAAAACAACCACACCGGCTCAGCATCTCCTAACTAATTCATTACTGGCTCTACCGTGGTTAGAAGGGGTACTTGATCCATTAGTCAGTACCGCAAATTGGCATCCCTCAAGCCACTTGACCATTTCCACTACGTCATCGAGGGACCCAAAATTTTCCCCAGGGACTATCTTAGGGTATGTTTAATCGATATAAATACTTCATGGGGCACAGGCCCCCATTCTACTCCCCATAAATCAACAGGTCCCTAACTACATAGCTAGGTGTGACCCCAAGACACAGACGCAAACACATTCGAATATCTGAAACAATGAAGGACGAATCTACTTATTCCCACAACAATTAACTAACTTACTTTTTCCACAAAAAAATTATTTCTCAAAGTCCATCAATGATAATTGACCAACCAATGAAGGCCAAGGAATAAAATAAAATAAAAAATGGGCCGTTGTACGCTCCCGCCTTCTTCAGATGGTTGGAATGTCGAACCCTTTATTTCGCTCACAGGGTTAGACTGTTCTCAAGGACACATGTCACAGTCGATAAAGGCGTTGGTTAGATCCAGTTGCAGGACCCAAAGAGTGTGGTTAATGCAGTGGAGAACATTGAGTGGGGAATTAACAGGAGATAACTGATAACTGACATCCATTAGACATGGCACGTGGAACTAGATCAGTCTACCCCAGTGAGCGAAATAAAGGGTTCAGTTCGACATTCTAACCACCTGAAGAAAACCGGGGCGTACAACGGCCGAAACGTTGTAATAAATATGGCGACAAAGATGAGGACAATAGTCCGAATAATGTAAATAGTGTACATAATACCGCATCTCAGAAATATAGACTGAATTATTTTTAAGTTAATTAGAATTTTAAAAAATAATTCTAAATTTAATAGTCAATTTTTTTTCCAACTAATTAGTGTACATAGAAATCACAGTGGGGATGCTCAATAACAAAATGCCGTCAGACTTTCTTTTCAAAAAGTTTTTCAAATGCGTTACGTACGCAAATTCAGGCATCCAGTGGCCAAATGGCTGCCAAATATACAAAATTTGGATGCACCCAAAAACATTAAACGTGCCAATAGATTTCTGCACATAGTCTAAACTTTTGTAAAAAGACAAAACAAAACCAATTGTCACATCAGTGTGTATCCGTGAGTGTGTGTGTTCGTTTTTCCTTTCAGTTTTTTCCCTGCATGTCCTTTACATTGTCTGTCCATCAAAAAATGCCATCAATCTTACTCTTTCCTCATTTTGGTCTGTTTTTTAAATCAGTGTGTGTGGGTGGGTGTGTGGGTGGTTGGGTGTGTCTGGCAGTAGAAAAAAGTAATATCATCGTACTTACAGACTGTCCAATAGGTTTAAACTACATTTTTTTAATATGCCTTTTTACAATTTTTTTTTTGAGTGCTCAGTCGAAAATCTTCTCCGAACTTTTCCACGTTGTGCTGCAGTCTTCATTTTGCATCCTCACTTACTGGGAGGTCATGGTCATTGCGCCAAATATACAAAATCTCGTAAAGGCTTGTGTTTTTGTGTGTGTGTGTCTTGAAGTAGAACAAAGTAATATCATCGTATTTACAGATTGTCCAATATGTTTAATCTACATTTTTTTTATTTTCCTTTTTACTCTTTTTTTAGTCTTCAGTCAACAATCTTCTCCAAACTTTTCCACGTTGTCCTGCAGCCCTCATTTTGCGTCCCCACTTGCTGGTAGATCCTAGTCTCTGCGCCAAATAGGCAAAATGTTGTAAAGACTTGTGTGTGTGTGTGTGTGTGTTTCTGGCAGTAGAACAAAGTAATACCATCATACTTACAGACTGTCCAATATGTCTAAACTAAATTTTCTTCATACTTCCTTTTACTTTCTTTTGAGTCCTGAGTCAAAAATCTTCTCCGAACTTTTCCGCGTTGTTCTGCAGCCCTCATTTTGTTGCATAGCCTTGTGTGTGTGTGTGTGTGTGTGTGTGTTTGTTTGTGTGTGTATCAGTGGTCAAAGTAATATCATCGTACTTACAACTGATTAGTGTACACAGAAATCAAAGTGAGAATGTCTCATAAGAAAATGCCGTCAGCCTTTATTTTCCAGAATAATTTTCTATTGCGTTCATGTACATAAATTTACGCTTCCACGTGGCTAATCATCAAAACTGGTCAAAGTCATTTCTAGAAAAAATTTTTTCAACCATGAAACTTTCGCGGTTAGATTTTTTCGACGACGAAATAAAAATTACAACTACAGCGAATACAACATGAAATAATGCCAAACATAATCTTAGACAAGACATAAAAAGCGTACCAAAAAAAAAAAATGTTTCCTTTTGGGATGAAAGCGGCTCCAGTTATATTTCAACAAGCTATGGATACTTTCCTTGCAGATTGTGATTTCGTAGGTGCTTATCTGGATGGTATGGCACGCGGCCAAGTGGTTAGGATGCTCGCTTTCTGATCATGAGTCCCAGGTTTGAATTAATTTGTCAGGAAGGTGATGTTATCAGTCTGGAGGAGGCGATCCCAACGTATGCCATCTTTGGAAAGTGCCTGAAAACCATACCACGGGTTGACCGAAGCCTTGTGAGTGAAATTGGGCAGACTGTTCAGAGTTAATAACAATAAATGCACACAAGAAGTTGTGTAAATTCAACTGACTTCCTTTTGGGATGAAAGCGGCTCCAGTTATATTTCAACAAGCTATGGTTACTCTCCTTGCAGATTGTGATTTCGCCGGTGCTTATATGGATGATATGGCACGTGGCCATAGAATATTCGCTTTCTGGCCATGAGACCCGGCTTTCCTGGTCTGATTCAAATCTGACCATATATATATATATATATATATATATATATATATATATATATATATTTTGTGTGTGTGTTTAAAATTTCAGATAGTGTAAAAGGATTATGAATAATGATAAAAGAAAAAACAATCAGCACAGGACTTTTCACATTTGGCTTGACACACACACACACACACACACACACACACACACACACACACACACACACACACACATATATATATATATATATATATATATATATATAAAGACATTTTTATGTTTATATATTCTTTTATAGATACAAATATTTAAGTAAATGCTCTGTTTATAATAAACAGTATTAAACAACATTTACCGGCCTGAATGTCCGAGAAATAAACAGTGCATTTACTTAAATATTTGTATCTATAAAAAAGAATGTATAAACATGAAAAATGTCTTAAAATAATTGTCGGACTTTGAACAATTCATAATATATATATATATATATATATATAGATACACCTAGTGAGCCAGACAAACCTACCTAGGTTTCACCTAAACGGATCGTCAGCCAAACTTTCCCTGACGATCCGTTTAGGTGAAACCTAGGTAGGTTTGTCTGGCTCACTAGGTGTATCTAGGTCTGCTCTACGGTTGTATTGAGCTCTTTTGTTAGTTAGTTGTTACTCGTATCAGGGTTTTTCTTTGGGCTTCAGACCTGCATCTGTGCGATTTTTTTGTCGGCAGAAGTCCATGTTTGTAGCTCTTTCTTTTTTTAAAACCTTTTTTCCCTCGAGATTGATTTGATTAGCAAATCAAAAATTCGAGGGTTTTTCAAACGAGTCTAGTTTTCTATATTTATATGTATATATATATATATATATATATATATATATATTTATTTGTTGTGGAAGTACCCACCCCAGTGACTCAAATGAACTTGGCAAGACACCTTAAAGAACTCCAAGTGAATCAAAGTAGTCCGTTGGAATAAGCCAGAAGATTTACTAACAGACGTCATGGGCGAGTAGCCTAAGCAAGACATAATATTAGGAGCTAGTTTTAAACAGTGGCGACGAAGGATCGAAACTCATACGGGGTAGGAAAAAATACTCCCTCTCCTCATTATATGCCATAGAAATTTCAACTGTCTCTTCCTGAGGTTATGTTAAACTGTCTTTTTTGTTTTATTTCCAACATTCATATATATCATTGTTATTATAATCTTTTATTAAAGTTGTTAACATCAAATATTTAACGATACAATAGGGGGATTTCTACGGATATGTTATTGTCGTAGAACTCGCCATGAACATATTCAATCAACTTAAAAATTAAAATTCCCTGCTAGTAGGTTGACTATATTCATTAGAAACCTGCTCTGAGAATTGGGGCGCTAATTTTAAATCTTTTCATTTGTACCCCCTTACTTCTTAAAATAATGACCAGCATTCATATTCATGATTGTTATTGCAATACTTTATTAAAGTTGTTAAGCTCAAATATGTAACGATGCGATAAGGGAATTTCTCCATTTTTTTTATTGGCGTAGAACTCACCATGAGCATATGCAATCAACTTAAGAATTAAAATTCCCTGATACTAGGTTGACTATATCCCCTAGAAATCTGCTGTAAGAGGTGGTATGCTAATTTTAAATCGTTTCATTTGTACCCCCTTACTTCTTAAAATAATGACTATTCATATTTACGATTGAAATTGCAAGATTTTATTCAATCATCGACTTAAGAATGAGGAATCATCAAAATTTTAAATAGGAAAACAGTGAAATGTTCAGAATTAACATCCATAAATACGCACAAGGGATTGTATCAGATCAACCAGCTTCCTTTTGGGGTAAAAGTGGCTCCAATTATATTTTAACAAGCTATGGATTATATTTTTGCGGATTGTGATTTCACAGTTGCTTATCTGGATGATATATTGATTAAAAGTTTATCTAAGAAGCAACATATCGAGCATGTAAAAAGAGTTTTTGAAAAATACGAGAATATGGGTTCAAATTCACTGTGGAAAAGTGCGGGATTGTTTTCGCCTAAAATCAATTGTCTAGGACAAATCATTGACAAAAATGGTTGTCAACCAGATCCGTCGAGGGCAAGTGCAGTTAAAATATGCCTCCCCCAAAAAACTCTACTACATCATAAGCATTTCTGGGAATAGCAAACTATTATCAAATTTATATAATATGCAGAATTAGAGAGCTCCACTGACTAATTAAAAAAGGCGATAAATGTCAGAAGACGTTTGAAGAAATCAAGAAAATACTAACGTCAAACTTAGCGTACTACGATCCAAAAGCAGAAATCGTATTGGCTTCAGATGCTAGTGACTATGATATAGGAGCAGTAATTCTACACAAATATGATGACGGTGACAGGAAAGCCGTCGCACATGATTTGCGTTTGCTACTACCGTCAGAAAAAATACAGTCAGATCAAAAAAGAGACGATGGCAATAATATTTGCAGTAAAAATTCACAAACTCATCCACGGAAAGAAATCGGTTTACAGACGGACCACCGTCCTTTATTATCAATTTATGGTTCGAAAAAAGGAATTCCTACAGCGAATAGGTAACAACGCTGAGGTACCATCTTATTAAATTACGATTTCCAGATGGGATACCAACCGTCAAAATAATTAAGTCATGTTCATGGTTTATCAAGATTGATACAAAAATACTGAACCATTTGAGGACACTGTTATTGCAGCATTAAAAAGTGAAATAGAAATTAAAAATATAATATAAGAATATGCACCCCCAACAAACTCTACTAGATTACAATCATTTCTGGGACTAGCAAACTATTATCAAAATTTATATAACTAATATGCAGAATTTGAACAATGTACTTAAAAAAGGTGATAAGTGTCAGAAGTCGTTTGAAGAAATCAAGAAAATACTAACGTCAAACTTATCATTAGCGTACTACGATCCAAAAGCAGAAATCGTATTGGCTTCAGATGCTAGTGACTATGATATAGGAGCAGTAATTCTACATAAATATGATGACTGTGACAGGAAAGCCGTCGCACATGCTTAGCGTTTGCTACTACCGTCAGAAAAACAAATTACAGCTAGACCGAAAGGGAGGTGATAGTAATAATATTTGCAGTGAAAAAAAATTCCACTAATTTTTATACGGAAGGAGTTTTCGTTTGCAGACGGACCATCGACCTCTGTTATCAATATATGGTTCGAAAAGAAAAAAATCATACAGCGAATAGATTACAACGCTAGGGTACGATCTTATTGAATTAAAATTTCAAGATGGAATAACATCCGTCCCCAAAATTAGGATATGCTGATGGTATATCAAGTCTGACACCAACAACTACTGAACCATTGTTGCAGCATTAAAAAGTGAAACAGAAATTAAAGATATATTAGGCAATGTCGGACGAGAACTTCCAGTTACTCTGGAAGAAACAAAAGTAAAGACAGAACAAGACATGTTTATTTAAAAAAAAAGTCTAAAAGAAAGCAAAGAAGATAACCGAATTTTTAGAACGTAATCCAATCTTGAACGCTTACTCGCCATGTAACGGAGTACTGGTGTTTGCACAGAGAGTAGTAATACGTATCATATTAAGAAAGTGTATATAAAATAAAATTCATAGTGGGCACCCTGGAATTTCAAGGATGAAGTCTCTTATGAGGAGCTATGTATACTGGACCAAAATGGAACAAGACATTGAAAAATTAGTAAAAGCCTGCAGAGGTTGTGCACTGGGAGCAAAATCACCTACAATGAAATTACAACCTTGGCCAAAGGCAGATACTCCGTGGTGAAGACTGCACATAAATTTCGCAGGTCCAATAAATGGATCACATTATCTTGTGGTAGTGGACAGCTTTACTAAGTGGCATGACATTTGTAAGTGCAAAAAACAAAGTTCCACTGTCAGAGTGAATTTTTTACACTAACTGTTTGCAAGATATGGCATTCCGGATGCCATAGTCTTGGATAACGGTACACAATTCAGTTCTTACGAATTTAAAGAATTTTGTAAATTTATCGATTGAACATATTATCAAAAGTCAAACGGACAAGTTTCACGGCTTGCGTGTACTTTTAATAAAGCAAGTAATGAAAACTGTGCGAAGAAGCACTACAAAAATTATTGAGAGTGTATCGGATAACGCCGAATCTCAATACACCGGAAGGCATGTCACTGGCAGAATTGATGTTCGTAAGAAAAATTAAATCGGTGTTTGACAAGTTGTTACCAAGTCAAAAATGAATAAGAATGGATAAGAAGGGTATAATTTTTTTTCAAAGTTAGCGAAAAAGTGTTTTTCAGTGTATATAAAAATGGAAAAGAAATGTGGGAAGAGGGAGTAATAAAATTTATGAATTAGAAAATTAATATATATGATGAAAGGAAAAATGGGAACACAAAAGCCATTGGAATCAGCGAAAAAAAAGGCCTGCAAGAAAGAAGAACCTACGCAAGTATTACATACTATTTTTGACGTACCAACACCCCAAGAATTGGTTGAACGTACAAGTATGATTACCAGAAAGAAACGTACGGAAAAACTAGTGGCTGACCCAAAACAAGAGAAATACAAAGTTCATTAGGTGGCAAATTCGTGAATACTAAGAAATAAAATATTCACTACTAAAAAAAACCCCCCAAAAACCCAACTCAAATGGCTGGATTCTGTCGAGTAAAGAACACACTTTCGGTAACACAAATGAACTAGGCAAGACGCCTTAAATTTAAAGAATTTTGCAAAATGTTTCCGATTGAACATATTACTAACCCGCCTTATCACCTAAGGTCAAATGGACAAGCTAAATGTTTTGTAGCTACTTTTAACAGAGCAAGTAATGAAAAAGTGGGCGAAGAAGCACTACAAAAATTATTGAGAGTATACCGGATATCGCCGACTCCCAATGCACCGGAAGTCATGTCACCGGCAGAATTGATGCTCACAAGAAAAATTAAATCGGTGTTTGACAAGTTGTTACCAAGTCAAAAAAGAATAAGAGTGGATAAAAAGGATATATTTTTTTTTTCAAAATTATCGAAAAAGTGTTTTTCAGTGTATATAAAAACGGAAAAAAAGTGTGCGAAAACAGTGTAATTAATAAGGTCATGAATTAGAAAATGATATATAAGGTAAAAGGAAAATTGGAAACACAAAATGCATTGGAATCAGTGAAAGAAAAGGCCTGCAAGAAAGAAGAACCTATGCAATTACTATATGATATTTTTGACGTACAAACACCCCAAGAATTGGTTGAACGTACAAGTATGATTACCAGAAAGAGGAAACGTACGGAAAAACTAGAGGTTGCCCCACCCAAAATACAAAGTTCAGAACGTGGTGAATTCGTGGATACTAAGAAATAAAATAAAATATTTACTAATACAAAAAAAAATCTCAAAAGGCTGAATGTTGTGGAGTAAATAAGACAGCTTCGGTAACACAAATGAACTAGGCAAGATGCCTTAAATAAAGAACAGAAAGTGAGCCATGCGAAGTCCGTTGGAACCAGGCAGTTCGCTGTCTGGCTCGTGATTGATTTGTCGAACTTTCTGCCTTCGGTCAGAGAGGAACCCAGACGAGGCTATGCCTACGGGCAGAGTTTCGTTTCGGGAGGTAGTTGTAGTTAGAGGTAGTAGGTGACAAGTTCTTACCGAGTCGAAATGAATAAGAACGGATAACAAAAAGGACTAATATGATGTCAAAAGGCACTGGAATCAGTTAAAGAAAAGGTTTACTGTAGAAATGCCAGCAAGAAAGGAAGAACTTATGCAAGTACTCTGTGATATTTTTGACGTACCAACACCCCAGGAATTCGTTGAACATACAGGTACAATTACCAGAAAAAGGAAACTCAAAATGAAAAATAGAAAATTCGGTAGGTGGCGAACTTTCCAGAAAGAGGAGGAAGTGAATACTAAGAAATATAATAAAATATATACTAGTAAAAAATAAATCTTAAAAAGTGGGGATTATGTGGAGTAAATAAGTCACACACGGTAACACAAATGAACAAGGACAGACGACTTAAATAAAGAAGTTAAAGTGAGTCAGAGAAAGAAGTTGAAGTCAGCCGAGGACCATTCTAATGGCGTCCATTGAGTAGATTGAGAGAGACACAATATTAAAATCGCTAGAAGTTCCTTTCTTTCTTTCTTTCTTTCTTTCTTTCTTTCTTTCTTTGTGTACTTCTATTAATCTTTCTTCGCTTATCAATCTGCATCTATCTATAAGTCTTTCTTTTTTCTATCTATCTGTCTATCTATCTATCTCAGTCTGCTCATATCTATCTATGTCTGTTACCTTTCACATTTCATATTCTTTTTCTTTCTTTCTTTCTTTCTTTTTGTACTTCTATTTATTAATTTTTCTTCGTTTATCAATCTGCATCTATCTATAATTCTTTTTTCTTTCTTTCTTTCTTTCTTTCTTTCTCAATCTGCTCATATCTATCTATCTATCTATCTATCTATCTATCTGCTACCTTTCACATTCATATTCTTTCTTTCTTTTTTCTTTTTTCTTTCTTTGTGTACTTTTATTTAATAATCTTTCTTCATTTATCAATCTGCACCTATAGTTCTTTCTTTTTTCTTTCTTTCCTTCTTTCTATCTATCTATCTATCTCAGTCTGTTCATATCTATCTATCTATCTATCTATCTATCTATCTATCTATGTCTGCTACCTTTCACATTCATATTCTTTCTTTCTTTCTTTTTTCTTTCTTTCTTTCTTTCTTTTTATACTTCTATATATTAATATTTTTTCGTTTATCAATCTGCATCTATCTATAATTCTTTTTCTTTCTTTCTTTCTTTCTCAGCCTGCTTATATCTATCTATCTATCTATCTATCAATCTATCTATTAAGTTGGTGCAAAAATAATGACGTAATAATGTCGTTTTTTGACGTATTTTTTAACGTCAAAAAACGACATTATTACGTCATTATTTTTGCACCAACCTAATATCTATCTCAGTCTGCTCATATCTATCTATCTATGTCTTCTACCTTTCATATTCATTTTTTCTTTCTTTGCGTACTTTTATTTATTAATCTTTCTTCGTTTACCAATCTGCATCTATAATTCTTTCCTTCTTTCTTTCTTTCTTTCTTTCTTCCTTTCTTTTCTTTCTTTCTTTCTTTGCTGCTTCCTTTCACATTCATATTCTTTCTTTCTTTCTTTCTTTCTTTCTTTTCTGTTTCTATTCATGGTGTCTTTCCGCAATCCTCTCCATCCTGAGAACCACCACCTGCTAAGACACTTTGCTATTCGCCCGCGCTTTTTGTCTAGTATCACATATTGCCAAACGATTGGCCTGACCCAAAGTTTCGGGTCAAAATGGCCAACGAGATGGACGCCTAAATCCGCAAATCAAAGAGCACCACTCAACCCACACGCCTCCTCGGGGGGGGGGTCTGTGTCATTGTATGTGTGTCTGAGTGTGAGTTTGTCCGTGTATGAGCCTGTGTGCAGGTGTGTAAACGCTGTTATCGATTTTTAAAATCCATAAAACCCAGTCTATTCATTCGGCAACATTTTTTACCCACTTCAGACAGAACAACGGATTGTTCATTTTTCCCCATCAGGCTTCTGTCCACGACCCCGTACATATACATACATACATACATACATACATACATATATATATATATATATATATATATATATATATATATATATATATACGCGTGCGTTTGTATTTGTGTATGCACAGCTATACACGCACTAGCGTACATATACAGATATGTCAACAGACAGATGTGAACAGCGTAATATATGCATGTACATACATACATACATACATATATATATATGTATATATATATTTATATAGTTATGTTTGGAGAGATTACTAGTGATGGCAACATTATACCTCGATTCATCTTCACCCAGACTCTTTCCTCAGATTCAACACGGACGCCTACATCAAGTCCCTTGAGGAAGTAGTGCGGCCCTGGGTCAAGAGGGTGGCTGCTGGGAAACGCTACGTCTGGCAACATAACTCGTGCCACACAAGCAAGAAAACGCAGTTATGGTTTTCAGACAATTTCTGCGACCTCATCACCCTTACATTTGGCCTTCTAACTCACCAGTCTGCACCCTCCTTGAATGTTTTGTGTGAGGCACAGTTGAGAGAGACCAACAAAATTCGTTGTAACTAAAGATGAACTGAAGTAAAGGAATATGGCAGCATTCATCAAATTAATTAGTGAGATCATCCATAAGAGTTGCAGGAGATTCCGAAGTCGGGAAGTCGTCTGGAGGCCGGGGTTGAAGCCAATGGCGATTTTATTGAATAAATTTACTCTTTAGTATTTCAAAATATTTTCTGTAATTTTGGTAAATATATCTATAATAATGAGATGTCACTGTTATTTTAATTTTTGCGTAATTTAGACGACAATTTATCCATCTCATCCTCTGTATATATATATATATATATATATATATATATATATATATATATATATATATATATATATATAAAGTGAACATTGCAGTCAACACTCAGGCCTGACGATTGCGTCTAGCATGAACTTGTATGTCGTTTTCAATGAAATGTGCATGAAAGAAGGATTGCTGCCTAAATACACAAATACACACACACACACACACACACATATATATATATATATATGAAGATGTATAGTTTTAAGGTGTGCTATATTTATGGGATAAAGTGTTCAATATCAGAAATAGAGCGCATGTAATTACGAAAGTGAATATTAAAATCAACATTCAGAGGCGACAAGCTGTTTCATGTTAGACGCAATATTCAGGCCGTGAATAGATAGATATGAACCGTCTGAGATAGATAAATGGATAGCTATGAACAAACTGTTCTTGAAAATTGGAAAATATATCGAAAAATATATATACATATATATTCGCGGTTTGACGAATGCGTCTAGCATGAAACAGCCTACACCTCTGAGTGTTGACTTCAATTTTCACTGTTATATATATAAGAAATTTTTATGTTTATACGTTCTTTTTATACATACAAATAATTAAGTAAATGTTCTGTTTATAATAAACAGTATCAACAACATTTACCGGCCTGAATGTCCGAGAAATTTTCATAGAAATTATGCCTCCTCCGACAGGAATCGAACCTGTATCCTATACGGAACCGTCATATAGCCTGACGTGCCTTAACCGATTGGGCTACAGAGGAGCGTTCGGTTAGCAAGGTCGATTTTACTGTTTTTAAACACAATTCTGCTCAATGCGTATCCAAATGTAAACAATTGACGTCATAAATTATGAAATGGACAAAGTCTGACAATTATTAAGACGGAGGGCGCATATTTTCTATGAAAATTTCTCGGACATTCCAACGGGTAAATGTTGTTTAATACAGTTTATTATAAACAGAGCATTTACTTAAATATTTGTATCTATAAAAAGAACGTATAAACATAAAAAATGTCTTAAATAATTGTCCCATTTCATAATATATATATATATATATATATATATATATATATATATATATATATATATATATATATATATATATATGTGTGTGTGTGTGTGTATGTGTGTCTGTGTTTTACGCAGGATATGTCAGTTGTGTTTCTTTTTTAAATGAAAATGTCGAATCGATTCTTCTCGCATATCACTTTTTCTTCCTTTCTTTTTTCTTCATTTTTTTTTTCGAAATCTTCACCTTTTAAATAAATAGTTTCACTTCACGAATGACCGTTGCTGTAAGTTTTCTTTTTCTTGTGTCAGGAACTGGCTAAACCCAAGGAAAAAAAAAATCTGATGTCAATTTTAACTCGGTGCCCGAGTTCATGAAAATAGTGTCAAACTGTGAGATACCATTTACTTCGTCCGACTGTGTCATGCATTGCAAGCTGAAAAGTAAGCACTTGGAATGTCGTGCTAATGCATGGATTTATTTTCAGTGACTAGCTGTTTGCTCAGATCAACGTCCACGTTCTCGATATGCGCTTCACGAATAATTTTTAATAACGTCTGATATTTACTCTTCTATTTCAAGATACTGAAGTAAATCACCATACTGCTTTAATGATTCTGTTAATAAGCATATCAACCTATTTATCCTAATTCTCCTTCACAGTAGCGGCTAACCTGCCACTGTGGAGCCAGTCACTAAGGTCGTTTTTTTTAAATTTTCAAATAAGTTTTCCAGTATGAGTATTTTCGATAGCAAAAAAAAAAAAAATATCTGCTGCCATATATAGTCTGGAGCCCCTTCTGTCTCAAGGTCCTTGATAAAATCCATAGACGGATATGGACAGAAATTGGCCCAGATCTGGCATCTCGTCTGCAGCCGCTCTCTCAAAGACATGCCGTCGCCTCCCTCTGTCTTTTTTTACAAGTGCTTTCACGGTAACTGCTCCGATGAGCTGCTTTCGCTGGTTCTCAGACTTCATGAATTTAAGCGTTCAACTAGGCTGGCATCTCGCTCTCACACTCTCATTGTCGAAACTGTTAAATGTAGCCGTCTCTTCTACTTCAATAGCTTCATGTCTCGTACTTCTCGGATGTGGAACTCCCTCCTCATTTCCTGTTTTCCTGGTAGCCAACTATTCAAATGTAACGTCAATCGACGTCTCCAGATGCCCTGGTCTATCCCCTAATCGTCTCTTTATCCTTTCCTCTATCACTCCTCTTTGCTCTCGCTCCAACTCTCTGTAACCCCTGCTTAGGATGGAATGCTTAAAAAAAAGAAAGATTTGTAATGTGTGCAGGATATTTCGACCTCTGATCACTCAGCACGAGAGAACATTTGCCGATGATTTATTGCACAAACTGCCGATCCATTGTTTGTCTCTTCAGTCATGTTTACAGATGAAGCAACATTTGAAAAACAAATTTACAAAACCAATATTTGTGGGCGGATCGGAATCCCCCTGGTACAATACAGGCTAGACACCAGCATCAGTTTACAATTGATGTGTGAGCTGAAAATGTAGGTTGACTGTCTGGTAGGTCCATATGTTCTCCAGCAACGTCTTACAAGATTTGTCTACAGGACTTTATTATTCCGAAGACCTGCAGAGAATGCCCTACCATTGCTAATACGAAGACGCCTGTGGTTCAAGCATGATAGGGCTCCGGAATATTTTAGTCATATTGTTCGCGATGCACTGTTTGATATCTACCATGAAAAAGGGGTTATGTAGAGAAGGACCTGTTCCATGGGCAGCACGTTTCTCCAACCTCGATCCTTTGGATTTTTATCTGTGGGGTCCATCTGAAACAATTGGCTTATGCAGTAGACCTTAGATAATGCAGAGATGCTTCATCAGCGTATCAGACGGGCCTGAGAAACCACTCGACCCCGTGTAGGGATATTTTAAACGGCCTTGCTTGGGGTGAAACGCTTAAAAAAAAACAACTCATGGCGCAGAGAATTTTTTTTAAATAGACTCTTACTCGTTGTGCAATTGAACATAAAGAATTTGTTTATTTAAAATAATTTAGGGGCTAGGAAAAAATCTCTATGACGGAGTAAAAAATTAAATCCATGAAATCTTTATAATTTGCTTTCTTTATGTTTCATATACGAAACTGATCAGACATAGTTTTTTTTTTCATCTCCCGAGAAAACTTCAAAAAATAAAATGTGCCCTACGGCGGGATTCGAACCTGCATCTTTCTTTACAGGAGGAACCGGTTAATTTTGTTTCTGCGCATTCAAGAAAATTTTCTCAAGTGCCGGTAGCCGAAATAAACAAACAATATATATATATATATGTGTGTATATATATATATATATATATATATATATATATATATATATATATATATATATATATATATATATATATATATATATATATATATATATATATGTGTGTGTGTGTGTGTGTGTGTATATATATATATATATATATATATATATAAATCATCTATCTATCTATCTATCTATCTATCTATATATATATATATATATATATATATATATATATATATATGATGAGCGCTAAAGCATAAAACCCCAGTGTCACAAATTCATATCCATACAACTTATGTTAGCTGTATCAATGATATTGAGTACTTTCCACTAAGTACCATGAATATAAAACTATATATATATATATATATATATATATATATATATATATATATATATATATATAAAAATTTGTGTATTTAGGCAGCCAAATATACAGTTCCCCATCACCATTTTTGATCTGCACCGACGTAAATATTTGCAGAAAACGGCACTAGATGGATTTGAATCCAATGACAAATAGCCTGTGACGGTCAGAGAACCTAAGATCCCTTTTCACAAGTAAGGTGAACTCCATGTGCGAAAGATACAAATATTAGGTTGGTGCAAAAATACGTTAAAAAACGACATTATTACATCATTATTTTTG